CGCACGGGAATTCTGGGAGTTGAAGTCCACAAGTTAAAGTTGCCAAGATTGGAGACCCCGATTTACATCTTATCAACAAGACGCTGTTTCAAGCAAAGGTTTTGATGATGCTACCTCATCCAGAAATTTTTCCCTCCTTTAGAAATTTACCTTTTAAAATGTCCCGTCCAGGGCAGCCTTTTTGCAAAAGGGTTTTGTTGTCGGACGCCACCAGTGCCTTGAGTTGCTCGGCACGAGAAATGTAATCGCTCACCTGGGCAAGAGGACATAAACACGAAACGTCAGGCTTAAAAGTGGGAGGACACAGCCTCACCTGATACTGACTAGGATGCAGAAGCAGCAGGTTAAAAGAACAAGAAGAGCTTTTATGATTTTACAGCGCCTTGCGTTGGGACGCAGTGGCTCAGTGGCTAAGAGGCTGAGCTTGTCGATCAGAAAGGTCGGCAGTTCGGCGGTTCGAATCCCTAGCGCCGCGTAACGGAGTGAGCTCCCGTTCCTTGTCCCAGCTTCTGCCAACCTAGCAGTTCGAAAGCACGTAAAAAAATGCAAGTAGAAAAGTAGGGACCCCTTTAGTGGGAAGGAAACAGCGTTCCGTGCGCCCTCGGCAGCATTTAGTCCTGCCGGACAAATGACCACGGAGACGTCTTCGGACAGCGCTGGCTCTTCGGCTTTGGAACAGATTTGAGCACTGTCCCCTAGAGTCAGAAATGACTGGCACGTAGGTGCGAGGGGAACCTTTTACCTTTTATTTTTAGGTGCTTTGCAAATTAAAGTGCCCTCTTTTTTTTCTCTCAAAAATAAATCAACAAATTGGTTTTAATCAGAACAGCCCAAAGGGCGCTCGGTGTAAAATATTGCTGATAAATAGATTATTTCTGAGATTTACGCATTGGCAAACTGCAATGGAACTCCGTCTTTCTCAACCTTGGCAACTTTTAAGACAGGTGGACTTCAACTCCCAGAATTCTCTTAACCAGCACCTTGACAACTTCCAAACATGGTTATAAAACCAGGTTGCTGTTTTGTTTTTTTCCATACATCCGGCTTCTGAGGAATTCTGAGAGCTGAAGTCAACCTGTCTTAAAGCTCTCAAGGTTGAGAAACTTGGATTTACGGACCGCTAAAAACCGACCAGGAATTAGGGAATATGGTCGCTCCAATTTATTCCCAGCTGGATTGAATTCTGACTGTTTTGCTTGGATAAAAATGTTTGCCATATTTTGTCCCCAAGGGAGCCCCTTTATCAAGGCGTATATAAATGTATATATAATATATATTTCAAAAAATGAAATTTATGAATATTGGTGTGCCTACCAAGATCACAAACCAGCTCATATTGATTAGGAGTTGCCTAGGACTAAAATTTATTTCACCGGTCCTACTTCTCTGCTTGCTTTTCAAGTTTGTTTTTTTTACACGTGACTTCTCATGAGTAAGCCTATTGGGAAAAAAACAGTATCAGTGGGTCCCATCTACCTTCCCTGCTTAAGGCAGAAATCCTTGTCTAATCTAGCGCCAGGACTTCAACTTGCACCCCCATTCAAATCATAAGTCTCCAGCCGCATGTCCCAGAGTAAAAAAAAATCAATTTATTAGGAATAACCATGTCGGTGTTACCTGGGTGCAATCAACTCTTAAGACACACCCTTCATTTCACCCTTGACCCGCTGGATGTACATATATTCTCCAATGGGACACATCCATAGCCAAGAGTCATCAATCGTGCTCTCCAGTAATAATAGTCTTGCGTGCCAACAGCTTTGGCTGCCTAACAATTATCTGAAGCATTTAAGGAATGCACTGCTTTCGCCCCTCCCTTTCTGCTGACAACTAAAAAGACCAAAGAAGTCTTTTTTTAGTTGACTTTTTTTAGTTGGCTTGCAAAGAAGCGTTTTCACTTTCCCCAAAAGCTGGCCTGAAAATTGAGCCATCGGGTCAGTTGGAAAATGGACTAACCTTGGATCGGATAGCTTCCTTCCGCTGGGCATCCCATTCATCTGGAGGCAACAAGAGGGATGAGGAAGGGGGCAGGGTTAAGTCTGCGCGTTACACAGAGAGGCAAAATCAACGGAGTCTACCATCCTCGACTTGCGACCGTAATGGAAACTGCCCATCGTGATGCTATGGCGTTCTACTCCCCCTCCCCACCTGAAAAGAAATCCGTTCCAGATGCAAAACACAAGCAGAGGAGTTTCAGTTTCAGAGCACCTAGCAGCTTTCGTACAGAACAGTTGAGCTAAGCCACGCCCAGGCTCCTTGCTGTCTCCTTCTTGTTCGCACAGCAAATACTGCTTCGGTTTCCAAACAGCCCTCAACTGTTCCACACCCTGACTGGATGCTAGCCAGATGAATACTGATGGATGCTGGTAGGCAGAGGCAGAATTTATCCTCCCTTATTTTCCTCCACAAAAACTAAGCCCGGCCACATAGTTTGGTAGCGAAGTATGGGTATCCAGCTAGTTTGTCCATAATTCTAGGTTGGATCTTTTTTTTTCTTCTTTTCTCTAAGTTTCCAGCCATTATTCCTTGTCCTGCCCTCTGGAGCATTTTGTTTTTACTCAGACGGGGTTGGCTGACTCTAGAGGAAAGAAGGAAGGGAAAAGCCAAGAGCAACTGGCCTACTCACAGCGTAAGGCAGGAACAAAGTACTCCAGAGCTTTGGAGTAAAGTGAAAGGGCGCTGGCCATATCACCTTCTTGGTCCTTCTTGATGGCCTCCATGACGAGTTTGGTCTGTAATTAAGCAACGTAAGAAGAGAATTAAGCAACGTTCAAGAGAAGAGTCTGGGCCACGAGAGTCCATCCTCTAAAACAGAGGTTTCCACCCTTGGCCACTTTAAGACGTTGTGGACTTCAACTCCCAGAATTCTCCCCAGCCAGCATAGCTTACTCTCTTGTGACCCCTTCCTCTGCAATCTCTCTCCACTTTAGGAGGTTAAGAGAAAAAAAGAAACAGACGCGGCTGACCGGAGAATTCTGGGAACTGAAGTCCAACAAGTCTTAAAGTGGCCGAGTTTGGAGACCTCCTCCTCTAAAACAAAGAGTGTCCAACCCTTAGCAACTTTAAGACCCCTAGCAACTTTAAGACCTGCCTCGGAGTTCTGCTTTCGATGGGTGCATTACTTGGAAGGATGCTTCCTTCCCTCTCCTACTTCCTTCGTTTCCTCCCCTACTTCCTTCCTTCCTTCCTTTCCTCCCTCCCTCCTTTCCTTCCTTCGTTCCTTCCCTCCCTCCTTCCCTCTCCTACTTCCTTCCTTTCCTCTCTCCCTGCCTCCACCTCTCCTCGCCCTCCCTCCTTCCTTTCCTGCCTGCCTTCCTTCCTTCCTTCTTTCCTCTCCCACTTCCTTCCTTCCCTCCCCTACTTCCTTCCTTCCTTTCCTCCCTCCCTCCTTTCCTTCCTTCATTCCTTCCCTCCCTCCTTCTCTCTCCTACTTCCTTCCTTTCCTCCCTCCCTCCCTCCACCTCTCCTCTCCCTCCCTCCTTCCTTTCCTGCCTTCCTTCCTTCCTTCTTTCCTCTCCTACTTCCTTCCTTCCCTCCTTTCCTTCCTTCGTTCCTTCCCTCCCTCCTTCTCTCTCCTACTTCCTTCCTTTCCTCCCTCCTTCCCTCTCTCCTCTCCCTCCCTCCTTCCTTTCCTGCCTTCCTTCCTTCCTCCTTTCCTCTCCTACTTCCTTCCTTCCCTCCCCTACTTCCTTCCTTTCTTCTCTCCCTCCTTTCCTTCCTTCGTTCCTTCCCTCCCTCCTCCTCTCTCCTACTTCCTTCCTTTCCTCCCTCCCTCCACCTCTCCTCTCCCTCCCTCCTCCCTTTCCTGCCTGCCTTCGTTCCCTCTCCTTCTTCCTCCTCTCCCTCCCTCCGTTCATTCTCTCTCTCCCTCTCTTCCTCTCTCCCCTGTTTGCCGATACTCACGGCTTTCCCCAAACTTTCCGAGCTGGGCATGTGCTCCATGTCCACAAAGGGGTGCGCGAAGAACGCCTGGAAGGAGATACGCTGCTGGGGGTCTCTTTGCAGAAGCCGCTGCAGGAGATCCCGGCATTCCGGGGAGAGTCGGGGGCGGCTGGGAAGCTGTGCAGGAAAGGCGGGAGAAGCCGGTGAAGGTTTACTGCTGATCGTGGGGGACACTTTTCAATCACTCAAAAGAGAACCTAAACGGTGGTGGGGGGGCTTCAGGCTCGTGCAATGGATCCCTTAGAGCAGCGGTCGCCAACCGGTGGGCCGGGGAACCACTGGTGGTCTGTGAGAAAATTTAGGTGGTCTGCAGAGAAATGTCCCCCACCCCAAAGCAATTCATCCAGGCTGCATGGGAACACAAGATTGCGCCATTCACATGGCCCGTGGGAACACTAGGCTTGCGTCGCTTGCATTGCGAACAACACGAGGTAGTGAGGGGAGGGGGGAAAGGGTGGAGGGGGGGACTTGCCCCACGCACCCCACTTGCCTGGCCTGGCCACCGGGCTGCTTCTTTCGCTTCTTTCTTCTTCTGCTTTTGGCTGCGCGCAAGGAAAGCAGCCAAAGTCTTTCTTTCTCTCCTCCAAACTCTGCCAGAAATGAGTCTTTGGGGCCCTGCAAGGCCTCCTCGCTCCAAGAGGCGGCACCAGCAAAGACTCATTTCTGGCGGAGTTTGGGGGAGAGAAAGAAAGGCTTCTGCTGCTTTTGCTGCTTTCCTTGCATGAAGCCAAAAGTCTCTCTCTCTCTTTCTCCCCCTGAGAACGGAGCTGGAGACGATATTCTGCGATCCCAAATAAAGATCGATTGATCGGTAGGAAAACGGGGTGGGGAATTTTCCTGCAGACTTTTTTGGGGGATTTTTCCCAGGGTCTCTGGTCCGCGGGATTTAAAATTATGAGCTTGGTGGGTCCCTGAGGTCCAAAAGGTTAGCGACCCCCGACCTAGAGAATCTGGGGAAACCGACAGATTCCTTCTCAGAAAAAACGGGCACGAAGGAAGGAAAAGAGAATGCAAAGCAGCTCGGATAAAAAACACCCGACTGTAAAACTCGCGGCACAACCAACCAAGGCATCTGTCCCCACCTGTGGCCTTGCAGGGTTACCTCAACAGGTTGGCTGCTCCGGATCTTCTCCTCCAGCTCAGTGAACGATTTGGAGGCGAAAGGAGGCCGGCCAAAGAGAGCCTCTAAGAAGAGGGGAGGGAAAGGGGTAACCTGGTTAAGGATCGGATGTCTTGCAAAGAGGTCGGAAAGAATCCCGCGGAAGCCGCAGAGAAGGAAGCCCCAATCACGGCTTTCAAATCCCTTGACCCCGGAGGAATTTCAAATGACATCGACCTAGACCATTGAAGTATGTGTGTGTGTGTGTGTGTGTGTGTGTGTGATTAATACATATATATGTATGTGCGCATGTAGAGCAATATCAATAGCACTTAAGAGTTACGCTCCGCTTCACAGTACTTTTCAGCCCGGCCTAAGCCGTTTTACAGAGTCAGACTCTTTGCACCCAACAATCTGGGTCCTCATTTTACTCACCTCGGAAGGATGGGAGGCTGAGTCCACCTGGAGCCTGGTGAGAATCGAACTGCCAAATTGTAGTCAGCCAGCAGTCAGCAGAAGTAGCCTGCAGTACTGCATTCTAACCACTGTGCCGCCAGTATAGATAGGTACCAATATAAAATTGTGTGTGTGTGTGTGTACACACGCACACATACATAAAAGGGACACAGTGGCTCAGTGGCTAAGACACTGAACTTGTCAATCAGAAAGGTTGGCAGTTCGGCAGTTCGAATCCCTAGCGCTGCGTAATGGAGTGAGCTCCTGTTCCTTGTCCCAGCTTCTGCCAATCTAGCGGTTCGAAAACACGTAAAAAAATGCAAGTAGAAAAACGGACCCCCTTTGGTGGGAAGGCCACAGCGTTCCATGCGCCTTCGGCATTTAGTCATGCCGGCCACACGACCACAGAGACATCTTCGGACAGCGTTGGCTCTTCGGGTTTGTAACGGAGATGAGCACCGCCCCTTAGAGTTGGAAAGGACTAGCACGTATGTGCAAGGGGAACCTTTACCTTTATATGTATGTGTGTGTGTGTGTACACACACATATATATACACACACACATATATACACACACACATATATACACACACACATATATACATACATATATATGTTTTCTGAGGTTTTCGCGGGTATTTGTATGTGGATCTTTGGTTATTCGGGTTTTCTCCCGCGTAAAATTGGAAGTAATTTGGCAACGTTTCGACAAAATCTCATTCGTCATCTTCAGGCTTGTGTCTTCGGCTTTGTACTCCAAGAAGCACAAAGCCGAAGACACAAGCCTGAAGATGACGAGTGAGATTTCGTCGAAACGTCGTCAAAATACTTCCAATTTTACGTGCGAGAAAACCCAAATAACCAAAGATCCACCTACATATATATGTATCTCTATCTGTCTGCCTATCTATCTTTTGAGAGTTGGCATCAGAATTTCATTTTTGAATGTGTGCTAGTACATTTACTGAAAAAAGTGACAATAAAGGTTATCGTATCTTATCTTACCATAGAGAATCACGCCCACCGACCACAAATCTACCCGAGCATCGTATTGCCGACTGCACACCATTTCTGGCGCCATGTACAGTGGAGAACCTCTCAGCACATGCTTTTCGTCCCTGGGGGACATGTGTTGTGCAAACCCAAAATCTAAGGGGAAAAGAGGGAGCATTGATTAAAAACCTTCGACAGGAGGGTTCATTCCTGCAACTCCAGGGAAACCGTGATGTGCAGGTTAGGGTTAGGATTTCACCATCCTAACCATTACAACCGTTCCTTTACCAATTATTTGGGGGCCTGCCCAAAAGTGCTTTATGATCATTCCTCGCCTTTGCAACCGATATAAGGTGCGGCGGCCTAGAGGTGAAGCTCTCGCCTCACAATCAGCAGGCTGTGAGTTCGATCTTAGGTAGAGGCAGATATATTTCTCTCTCTGGGCAGGATGAGAATATATCAGCTGAACAAAACTCTGCCCTGGTGACAAGAAGGGCACCCGGCCAGTAAACACTCAGCTCCATTGAGTTGTCCAGAGTCCACCCCGCAAGGGATTATGGGGTTGTTAAAAGATGATGATGTTTTACAGCCAAAATAGTAAAGTCAACCCTACTGATTGTGTTACTTTTCAGCAAAATCCTGTGGTGACCAGGATGTGGCACAAAAGTAACGAAGTCACAAAAATAGGTAAAGTCCCTTTAATACCTCTAACTTGCCCCCCAATGTCCAGTTATCATCGGCTGAAGAAAAAACTCTCCCAAGAACAATTTTTAATGGGAAGAAAGTCCGTCCGAACCCAAAGTACATTTAAATTATAAATAAAAACCAATACAAACCACGCTGCAGCAATTAACGAAGGCAGGAAAAGGAATTGCAGAACTCAAAAGATAACACAACACACACAGTTGGGAGGATGCCAGAACCCAGATAAGACTTGACAAACCAAAATAATTCACACTTTGCTTCCAGCAAGGAGCTGTGTGCAAACACCCTCTTTATCCTGTTTTCCCAGCGGCAGCTAATGAAGGGAATCAGGGCCTTTTTCTCCCCCGTAACCCATGTTGCTCCCTTATCCGTTCCTCCCTGCATGCCCTAGGATGAAGAGCGGGTGGGCCTGGGTCTTCCTTTGAATGCCCAGCCGGACTGTGCCCTTCCCCAGTTTCTTCCACAGCCACCAGAGCCACACTCCCACTCCCTGTCAGCTGTTCCACCTCTCCCTCAGAATCAGATTCCAACAGGGGCATGACAAATCCACTTAAAGGGATTTTAATGAGAAATTTAGGTCAACCTTACTCCGTCGTTCCAGCCCTTTACATACCTGCCAGCTTGAGATGAGGTTTTTCCAAGGAACTCAGTAGAATATTCTGGGGTTTGAGGTCCAGATGGGAGATATTCTTCTCGTGAAGGAACTTCAAGGCACAAGCTGCTTTGAAAAAAGGAAAATGCACTCCGAAACAGTCTGTATTCTTGAGGACTAGATCCCTAAGCCAGCATTTCTCAACCTCAGCAACTTTCAGAAAGGTGGACTTCAAGTCCCAGAATTCCTCAACCTCCAAGTTAAAGTTCAACCCTCTTAAAGAAACCACGGCTCTAAACCACCAATATACAACTTTGGGAACTTTAAGACTTGTGGACTTCAACTCCCAGAATTCCCCAGGCCAGGATACCATAGTTGATTCTGGGTGATTCTGGGAGTTGAAGTCCACAAGTTTCTCTTTTTATTCCTCACCCAGTTGTTGTAGAAATATACAAGCCACCTTTTCCGGAAGAATCCTCCGGCTACGAATAAAACGGGACAGATCACCTCCAGCACAGTATTCCATGATTAAGTAGATGTATTCCTTGTCCCACTAAAAGAAAAGACAGGGAAAAAAACAACAACTCTCCATCAAGTTTATCAAAAGCACATCTATTTTCCCATTCCCATCCAGCCAACCTCTTTCTTTTTTCAAGTTTCTGGTCCTTATGGAGGGAATACCGAGCCCCAGTGGGAGTTATTGCTTGAATAAATGTAGGCAAAATTGCACTTAGGAGACAGGTGCTCTAAGTTCATGGTCAAAGAAATGGCTTTAGCTCCTTTCGGGGTAGTCCTTGACTTATGACTATTTGTTGAGCGACCATTCTAAGTTACAACGGAACTGAACCAGGGGACTTAAGACCAGTACTCACACCTCTACCTCAGGCAAAAGACACGCCCCGCCCCCTTTCTTCTTTGCACCTGGAAGTCCTTTAACTCCACAATATGAGGGTGCCGGACATTCTTCAGGATCTCTATTTCGGTCAGCAGGTTTTCGACCGAGGCTTTGTTCAATTTTTTCTTACTCACGCATTTGATGGCTACCACTTCTCGGGCGTTCTTCTAACAAAACAGAAAAGAAAAGAGTTGGGAATTTTCTAGTAAGGTTTTTATTTTATATTTTTTAGCTTTAATGGTTATTTTTTATAACTTTGGGTATTTTATATATTTTTTTAGCTTTTTAAAACGTTTTTTAACCTTGCACATTTTATGTTTTTTAGCTTTTTAAAATGTTTTTTTTTTAACCTCGGGTATTTGATATGTTTTTAACTTTTTAAAATGTTTTTTAACCTTGCGCATTTTATATTTTTTAGCTTTTAAAATGTTTTTAACCATACAAATTTTATATCTTTTAGCTTTTTAAAATGTGTTTTTTAATCTTGGGTATTTTATATGTTTTTAATTTTTTAAAATGTTTTGTAACCTTGGGTATTTTTTTCAGCTTTTTAAAATGTTTTTTAACCTTGCACATTTTATATGTTTTAGCTTTTTAAAATGTTTTTAACTATATGCATTTTATATTTTTTAGGTTTTTTTTTAATTCACTGGGTATTTTATGTTTTAGCTTTTTAAAATGTTTTTTAACCTTGGGTATTTTATATTTTTTAGATTTTAAAATGTTTTTAAGCATACATATTTTATATTTTTTAGCTTTTTAAAATGTTTTTTTTTAACCTTGGGTATTTTATATTTTAAACAATACAGCCAAAAACAAACAGAGGTACATGCAAATATTTTATATTGACTCATCAATACCTACATTACAACAACATGGTGAAAATAGATCTAATATATTATGAGTTGACATCTCATAGCTCTTATATTTGAGGCTGATTTTCACCGGGTTATTGTAATGTAGGTTACTGATGAGTCAGGTCGAAATGCTTGCAATCTACCCCTGTTCGTCTTTGGGCTGCACTGTTTAAATTATTAAAAGGGACTAATTGTTTTATATTTTATATTTTTTAGCTTTTAAGAAAGGGTTTTTTTAAAAAAAAAAACCTGGGTACTTGTAGGGGAGATGGGTGGGAAGAAAACTGTAATAAATACATATGTATGATTTATTATAATAATTTAATATTTATTTATGATGCATAAGTGCACCATCGTGCCTCCCGTCCCTGTCCTGTTGTCCCCATTTAATCATACCTATTTTCTGTATCCTTACTCATGTTTATACTTATACCTATTATTTTGTAAGCGATTGACAAATCAAATCAATAAATACATATACATAATAAACCAACCAACCAGCCAACCAACGCCTCTCTGCTCCCCGTGATAGTTTATTTTAACCTGCTAACAAAATATGGGAAGGGGTGTTTTTTTGTTTTGTTCTTCATGAAAAATATCCCACCCTTCTTAACATTTTCCTGGCTTTCGGTCGTGGTTGCGCCATCCAACCCACCAGGATTTTGCGCACGCCTCCGCTTTCACTTTTAAACCAAATCCACAGATAATCCCTGCACTCCAAAAACTCGACCCTAATTGGGGCAAAGCGGGAAGGGGCTCCAAGACCACAACCTTTAGGAAGGTTGCGTGTGTGTGTGTGTGTGTGAATCATGCCCCCCCCGCCCCAAGACTCCTGTCCAACTGGCTCCCCAAGGTGTTTTGTTTCTTTTTGCACGCGCGTCCCCAACCCAAGAATCGGCGCGCAGGTTGTTGCCCTTCCAGGTAGACTTCCTCGGGCAGGGGAGGCTCCACTTTTGGCTACCCGGCCCCAGCAGGGCTGGGCAAAAAGGCGGGGGGGGGGGGGTCCCCGGCTTTACCTTCCTGTAGGCTTTGAAGACGGTGGCGTAGGTGCCGCTGCCCAATCGCTCGGTGAGCAAGAAATCTTCCAGCTGCGGAGGTGCCCAGCCGGCCCCGTCCATCTCCACCGCAGCCACCGCCGGGGCCAGGCCAGGCCGAGGCAACCGGGCCGGGCTTGGGCTCCTCCGCCCCTCTTGGAGGCAAAGAGGCGGAGGCGGCCGTGGCTCCTCCTGCTCCGCTTCCTGGTTGGCAAAGCGGCCGGGAAAGCGCAGCCCTGTCGGTGCGTAAAACTGGCTTTGGTGGCGCCGCTTGCAACGCTGCGCTGCGGGCGAGGAAACTTCTTGGGGGGGGGGGGGGGGTGGAACCACTTGGTCTGGGGTAGAGATGGGACACTGGAAGCCCCTTAAGGCCGGTTTTGGTCCAGGAGTGAAGGCACCAGGGTAGAAGCCGGGAGACGGGGAGTTCTGGTTCCACTTGGTTGGGTGACTGGGAGATAGTGAGTTCTAGTCTTGCCTTGGGTATAAAAACCAGCTGGGTGACTATGGGTGAATAACTAGGAGATGGTGAGTTCTAGTTCCCCTTGGCTGGGTGACTGGGAGATGGTGAATTGTAGTCTAGCCTTGTGTACAAAAGCCAGCTGGGTGACTATGGGCCAATTACCAGGAGACGGTGAATTCTAGTTCCCCTTGGTTGGGTGACTGGGAGATGGTGAGTTCTAGTCTTGCCTTGAATATAAAAACGAGCTCGGTGACTATGGGCCAATAACCAGGAGACGGTGAGTTGCAGTTCCACTTAGTTGGGTGACTGGGAGATGGCGAGTTCTAGTCTTACCTTGGGTACAAAAACCAGCTGGGTAATTATGGGCCAATAACTAGATGGTGAGTTCCAGTTCCATTTGGTTGGGTGACTAGGAGGTGGTGATTTCCTTGGATATAAAAACCAGCTGGGTGACTATGGGCCAATAAGCAGGAGACAGTTGCAGTTCCACTTGGTTGGGTGACTAGGAGATGGTGAGTTCTAGTCTTGCCTTCAATACATAGGTGACTATTGGGCCAATTACCAGAAGATGGTGAGTTGTAGTTCCACCTTAAAACTTGACAGCGTGGTTGAGTGAGTTTGGGCCAATCACCGGGAAATAGTGAGTTTCAGTCCTTCCTTTGGTAAGAAAAACAGGCTGGGTGAGTTTGGGCCATTTACCAGGAGGCGGTGAGTTCTAGTTCCACCTTAGGCATGAGAGCGTGGTTGGGTGACTTGGAGCTGATTACCAGGAGACAGTGAGATCTAGAGTCTTAGGTTCAAAAGCCAGCTGGGTGACTATGGGCCAATTACCAGGAGACACTGAGTTCCAGTCCTGCCTTAGGCAAGAAACTCAGCTGGGTGGGTTTGAGCCATTTACCAGGAGACGGTGAGTTCTAGTTCTACCTTAGACATGACAGCTAGCTGGGCCAAACACGGGTGATGGGAGAATTCTGGTTCCATGTTAGGCGTGAAAGCCAGCCCACTGTGCAGGATTGTATTTGTGGGGAAAATAAGAGCGAGGGAAGAGCATGAGGTTTGCCACCTTGAATTATTGATAAAAACAATAATAAAAGTGAGATACAAACTCCCCCCTTCCCTGTGTTTTTGTGTGTGTGTGTGTGTGTGTCATGAGTCAAAGCATGTTGTGCAAGCCCAGCCTCTGTCACGTTTGTGACTGGGTGTGTCTTGTAAAGTCAGAAAATTGGACAGTGTGCAAACAGCCACTAAGATTCTGTCTGTCTCAGGATGCCCGGAAATAATTCCTTGAATCATTTCCTTTGGGAGCTGCCTCCAGAAATCGGTTTGCATTGCTCCTGTTCATCTTTTGAAGGACACGCATCAAGATTTATCTATCCCTATTTATTTCCTTGGTTCGTGTTTATGTTCATACCTCTACTTGTGATCTTGCACACGTTTGACGAACAAATAAAATAAAAGAAACAAAGGTATCCAGGAACAGAACGAGACAAGGAACGCAAGAGCTCCGATGCTTAATGCCATCCAAAGGAACACACCATTTAAGGCCAAATACAGTTCTACTCAGTCTTGATATTTTTATTCTGCATTTAACCACAAAAGTTTGACATATACAATTTCTTTTTTTTTTTTACAGGAACCAAAAAAAAAAAAAATTAGAGGTGGAAAATCCAAGAGGGGAAGATTTTTATTTTTATTTTTTAAAAAAATCTCATTTCCGCCATCATTATAGATCTTCAAAGAATAACAATAATAATAAAGAGAGAGAGAGAGAGAGGGACAGACAGACAGAAACCAAGAGATAGTTCCCTATGGGATGCGCTATGGTACATCCAATCTGAGAAAGGTTTGGAAACATCTGTGGTGGGAAAAAAAAACCCAACCAACCAACCCTAAACACCTATGTATTTGTGGGGAGGAGAGAAAGACACGTAAGTTTACCTAAAGAAATAAAAAGCAAGCGGGAAAAAAAATTGGTTAGTGGGACTGCGAAATGCACCTGAGCCCTTTGGATGTTTCTCCGTCATCGGATTTATTAAAAGATCATCTTATAAGATGTGCATCTTAGATCACTTAAATCAGGTCGATGGAAGTAAACCAAAGAGCGCTTAGTGTTTTTGAGAGCTATATATCCCCAATTTCGAGTCGATCCATCGATCCAGCCTACCAGAAGAGGAGGGATCTAGAAATTTTCTTTTAACACTGATTCGTTTTGCAGAGAACTCATAACGGGCCTTTTTTGAGGAAAGGCCGGAAGTTTTTTTTTTTTTAACGGCTGTCATTCAGTTTTGAATAAAAAAAAGAGAGATTTTAAGATTTCGGAGGCCGCTGCCTGTCATCCATTCTACCCCAAACAAGCCTTGGCTAAAAAAAAACTCTCGTCTTTTTCTCTCCAAATTTTATTTTGAAACTAAAGGTGCCAGCAACTGGTGGGAAAGGAAAAAAATTCTGGTAAAAATCAGAGGAGGTGTTTCCATAGGCCTATTTTATTATTATTATTATTGAGAGATGGGAGCTTTTGCTAAAACGTTCTCCTTGAAGAACTGTTTGCTTGTTTTGGCAGTTGCATTGAGGCTAGGCAAGGAGGGCAGCGGGACGAAAGCAGATATATGACAGCACTGAATAAAACCGAATTAGAAATAATTGCCTCCTTCATCTCAAGGTTTGCTGCACTGCTTAAACATGAAACCCCATCGCCTCCTTTCAAAATCCAGGTTGCTAATGTTCAGGGGGGCTTAATGTGACCGGGGAATAAATCTTTATGCTTCCCCCAACCATCCAAAATTACAACCCCCCGATAAGAAACCTGGTTTGCTTTGCTGGCTTTGGGGGAGCCAGGAATGTCTTCCACAAATTGGGCCTTTCGCATCTCCCAGGAAAAATATACCGGAGGGGCAAAGAAAAAAACAAACAACCAGCCCGTACTGTACAGCTCATCCTACACTGGCGGTTAACGATCTTCGGCTCATTAAAAATCATCAAAGGCAGCAGCCAGGAAGACGAAGGGAAGGAATTGTTCAGGGAGGCTTCCGGCGGGAGAGTCAAGAGTGCAAAAATCGCTTTTTTTTTCCCACCCTCCCACAACAGAAGAAACGGAAAAGTGCAGGAAACAGACACGTTTTAAGTAAAAAAAAACCAAAATATGTATATTGGAAGGGAAGGAAGGAGGGAGGGAAAGAAGAAGGAAAGAGGGAAGGGAGGAAAAAGAAAGAAAATCGCACCAAAGGGTTTTAGGCACTCCTGAATTTTGCACTTTCCAACAAGACGCGGATGGAGAGACAGGAGGGGTGGGGCGGGCGAAGTTGGAGAGAAAACTTCCTGTGAGCCTCGTGGGAGTTAAGGCTGGCACCCAGGAAGGGGCGGGGTGGGGAGAAGACCACCTGAACGTGGGCGATCAGGTACCGTGAGGAATGGAAGCAGGCACCTCGCTGGGGAAGGCTCAGTTTCCTTGGAAAGCATTCTGAGCCGCCGCGGAAGCTGCTCCGCTAGCCGCCGACTGAAAGTTCCTGTTGCTGAGGATGCCTTGGGAGAATTCTTCCTGGGCTCTCTGGAAGCTGGCGCCTGTCCGGCGATAGAGCGAGTGGACCTTTGGGAGGGGAGAAAGCGAAAGGGAGTGTCACAGGCGGGTGCAAATTATGTGTCTCAGCGTCGGCCTTCGTACAGGTTCCGTACGAAGTGCAGAAGGACTTTTGAAGTTTGGCTCGAGGCTCGTGACTGAATCGGGGCGATCGCTGGAATCCTGACAGCGAGATGTTCAGTAAAAGCCCCACCGGCAGGTCCACGGCTGGCCCCGCTCAGCCCATTGTTCCATTGGATGAAACCACCGACACCAGCGGCGCAAAAGTGGCGGCACGCTGGCCACGTATGCAAATGTTGTACGGGTCGAATTACAGCCCTTCATTGAGCAAGAGTTTAAAGTTAGGGTGCTCCTCATGTTTGACAGCCGTGGCAGCATCGCCACGGCCAATTTTGTTCAATAAACCCGTGGATTAGCACTGATGATGTTACCTAGCTGGGTCATGAAATGTCTGCATGAAAACAAGCAAGCTCAGAGACCACCAAGGACCCCATATGTCCTCCTATTCTTCCTCCTCTTTCTCTTCTCTAAAAAAACACCTCCCTTCTAGGACTGATGAGGTTATCCAGTCTGGGTCATGAAACGTCTGCAAGAAAGCCACCAAGCTCAGAGTCCTCAAGGACCCCACAGTCTTCCTATACTTCTTCTTCCTCTTCCATTTCTTCCTCTTCCTCCTCTCCAAAACCCCACCTCCCTTCTAGGACTGATTATCTTACCTAGCTGGGTCATGAAACGTCTGCAAGAAAGCCACCAAGCTTCAAGAGCACCAAGGACCCCTCATGTCAACTCTGAGCTCCAAATATTCTCCTTTATTGTCACCACGGCTTGGTACCACAAGTGAACTACTCATGGGGCAAACATCCCCACCCAGGCATGACAAAAAACATTCTAGAACCATACGAGTAGTCCTTGGACTTACAGCAGTTCGTTTAGTGACCATCCGAAGTTTCCCTCCCCACCTCACCCCATGGGAAAAGGAGAAGGAGGGAAGGCCACTCGAAGACCCATAACTGCAGGGTTCTAGACAAGAGTGGGATTCAAATTTTTAACAATCGGTTCCATGGGCGTGGCTTAGGTGGTCATGTGACAGGGTGGACATGGCTTGGTGGACATGTGACTGGCTGGGTGTGGCCAATTCAATATCACTCACATCGAGGCGCGCCTATCTCCTCGCCTGGCCTCTCATGACTGTGGGGATGCAGCAACAGTCGTAAGTGTGAAAAAGGGTCATAAGTCACTTTTTTTCAGTGCCATTGTAATTTTGAATGGTCATTCCACACAATCAAAGTACCAGCAAAGGAGGGGAAAAAAAACTCCAGAGAAGTTCCTGAGACAGGAAGCCTAGTCCTGCCAAGAATGTAATAAGGGTAAACGGAGAGGCAGTTTCTGTCAGCAACACCAGAATGTTTCCTTCCTGCCTTCCTTACAGGATTAGGCCAGTAATTTCTTCTAACAACTGGTTCGCCAAACTGCTTAGAATGTTAGCAACCGGTCCTAGCGAATAGGTGCGAACTGGTAGAATCCCACCCCTGGTTCTAGACCCCTGTCAATCACTTGTCCTTTCGCAGGCCACTCACTCGTTTCAGCAGGAAGAGGGAGAGCACAGCGCAGGTCGTGAAGAACATGGCTACCACCATCATGATAATCTTCACAGCCAGGTTTTGGGTCGCGGAGAAGGCAAAAATCCAGCCGCTGGAAGAAGAAGAAGAAAAAGAAAAAGGAAGAAGGGAATATTGAATGAGTAGGAATTCAGATTGCCCTGGGAAGGGAGAATCCAGACTCCAGAGACAGGAGGCCAGCTGTATGAAAGACCCTGGCAGGTTCCTCTAAAAAGCTCTCTGGAAAAACATGAACCAATGTCTCTTCTGCTGCAGAATTTGCTCCACAGAGGCCTGTTTGGCCTAAAGGTGTCGTGCTTTCCACAGGTAGCAGCCAGGAATAAATGTCTACAAGTGGTGAATGCTCCAACGGTGTTTAAGAAGAGATTGGACAAGCCTTTGTCTGCTATTTTATAGGACTTCCTGCCTGAGCAGGGGATTGGACTACAACAGTGGTGGCCAACTAGTGAGCCGGGGACCACGGATGGTCTGCGAGAAAATTTTGGTGGTCCGCAGAGAAATGTCCCCCCAAAGCAATTCATCCAGGCTGCGCGGGAACACAAGGCTGCGCCGCCCACACGGCCCGCGGGACCACAAGGCTTGTGTCGCTTGCATTGCGAACGAGATAGTGAAGGGAGGGGGAAAGGGCGGAAGAGGGGGAACTTGCCCCACTCGCCCCACGTGCCTGCCGTGGCCACCGGGCTGCTTCTTTCCTCTTCTTTCTTCTTCTGCTTTTGGCTGCACGCAAGGAAAGCAGCCAAAGTCTTTCTTTCTCTCCCCCAAACTCCGCCAGAAATGAGTCTTTGGGGCCCTGCAAGGCCTCCTTGCTCCAAGAGGCTGTGATGGCAAAGACTCATTTCTGGCAGTGTTTGAGGGAGAGAAAGAAAGACTTCTGCTGCTTTTCTTGCATAAAGCCAAAAGTCTCTCCTTCTCTCTCTCTCTCTCTCTCTCTCTCTCTCTCCCCGAGAAGGGAGGGGGGAGAGGAAGAGTGAGAGGGAGGGAAAGAGTGGAAGACAGGGAGGGAGAGGAAAGGGAGAGAGGGAGAGAGAAGAAGGGGAGAGAGGGGAGAGAAAGAGAGGGAGAGAAAGAGAGAGGGAAAGAGTGGGAGACAGGGAGGGAGAGGGAGAGAGGAAAGGGAGAGAGAGAGGGAAGAGGGAGGGGGAAGGAGAAAGGAGCAAAGGGGGAGAGAGGGAGCGGGAAAGAGAGGGGGAGAGAAAGGGAGGGAGGAGGGAGCGGGAGATAGAGAGGTAAGGGAGTGAGTGGAAGAAGGGGATGGAGAGGGAGGGACAGGAAGAGAGAGAGAAGGAGAAGGTGACAGGGAGAAAGGGAGAGGGAGGGAGAGAGGGAGAGAAAGAGAGGGGGGGAAAGAGAGAGGGAAAGGGGAGGGGGAGAGAGAAGGAGAGGGGGAAAGAGGGAGAGAGAGAGAGGAGAAGGTGAGAGGGAGAAAGGGGGAGAGAAAGAGAGAGAGGGAGGGAAAGAGAGAAGGAAAAAGAGTGGGAGACAGGCAGGGAGAGAGGAGAGGGAGAAGTGCGCCGACCATTCACGCATCAGAAAACATGCAAGGGGACGTGAGCACAGCACAGGTGGGATGCGTTAGAAAAAGTCAGAAATACAGGCCTTTTAGGTGGAGTTAGAGGTGCTTCAACTGGGATCTGTGGAAGCCGCAGATCAGGAGGAGAAAAAAAACACAGAAGAGGCTTTGGAAAAGGGGACCCCCCTCCCAAGGCCGCAGCTCTCTTCCGTCCGCTAGCAGAAGAGCCCGCTCTGTCCATCAGGGCTTCGGGGCGGCCACGAGGCTTACCTGCTCCCCCAGTTAGGGATACCAACAGCCTGGACGATGTGGGCGATTATTTGGCAGAAAAATATGAAGAAGAAGACAAAGAAACTGAAGGAGCTGTCAGACCTGTGGAAGAGACAGAGAGAGAGAGAGAGAGAGTCAAGCCAGGGGCTGTCCCAACCGTGTTCTGACCTCAGCTTCCCCCCAAAGCGCTTAAACCGGCTCTTTGTCCCGGCAAAACCATTTTTTATTAAATGAAGGTGAATTTCTGGCCTTCGCATTCAGCCAACGGCCTGGCAAACAGCCTTTCAAGGGTGTAATTAGGCCTTATCTAGCTTGGAGAACTGCCAAGTAAATATTTCCAAACACGGTGCTGACAAGGAAGGACGCGGCACAGTGTCTCTGAGATGCCCAGGCAGATCTTCCCACTGCGGCAACGAACAAATTGTTTCCTGCAAAAGCCCCTTCCCCTTTTGATCCCTATGTGAGGGGCCACGCACCGTTTACCTGTGGCCTTACTCCCACATCGACCGTTAGTTCATAACTGTTCTTTTCTTTTGGCAGCTCTGTGCATGCGCACACTGGGAACAGGCTCCAGCTGTTCTTCTGCCTCACTGCTGTCCGACTCTGAAGGCAGCTGATAACTGGCTCATCTCTGCCTCTGACGCAGAGCCCTCGTCCGAGCCTTCCTCAGCCTCCAGGACTGGCCCAGGTTCCTCCCCAACCTCCTCACTGCCTGACTCTGCTGCCAGCTCCGCTAGCCGCCGGCGGGTCACAACAGATGGATCATTCCACCTACGGCTCCTTTAAACACGAGGTACCACCCCTGCCCTCCGGGAGGGCCGTGGTGCTCACCTGAAAGCCTTGTAAACTGGCCGATACCAGCAGAGGAAGGCGCAGGGGGTGAACAAGACGAGCCATAAGATGGAGAGGCCGAAATCTGATCCCGTGGTGGTGGGTTCCACCGTGAATACTGCCAGGCAGGCGAGGAAGTTTAACAGCAAGGTGACCGAGTGAACTGGCCAGGCGAGAACAAGAGAGAAAAAAAAAATCAGCGAAAAAGCTTTGCTGAAGACCCCAAATGCGGGAGGGGATTTCCTCGAGGCCGTGAGCACGACAAATAGGGATGCTCTTGTCACCGCAAAGGATGTTAAATTCTGGAGTGGTAACACGCTCGGAGCTTTGCACAGACAGGATTAAAGGACTGTTTTATTTGAAGAAGGAGTCTCGGCCAACTTCTTTCAGTCATACCTCCGTTCGATGAACCAGGTTGTCTAAAAGGGTCCCTCACACACACACACCGTGCTACTCGGGACCCTTCGCTCATTCTACAAAACGCCTTCTAAACTGTGATTGGTTAAACTGGAGAACCATTTGTCTGAAGTGTTTCTTGTCTAAGCAGGGGATTGGATCAGAAGATCTCTAAAGTCCCTTCCAGCTCTCTGTTATTCTATTCTAAATCTTGGTTAAACCAATGAAAAGTGAAACTCTTTTGTGCTACTCCTAATCCAGAGGGCAACGAGAGACGAAGCTTCCCGCGCACTTTACACACAGTTTAAGGAGAGTATTGTGCCCCTGATGGAATCTGATTCTGAGGGGGAGGTTGAGCAGCTGACAGGGAGTGGGAGTGTGGCTCTGGTGGCTGTGGAAGAAACTGGGGAAGGGCACAGAGGAAGACCCTGGCCCGCCCGACCTGCATCCTAGGGCACGCAGGGAGGAACGCAGAAAGGAGCAACGTGGGTTATGGGGGTTACTGGGAGAAAAGGGCCCTGATTCCCTTCATTAGCTGCAGCTGGGAAAACAGGATTTTAAAAAGGGTGTTTGCGCACAGCAGTTGGGTGAAAGCAAAGCGTGGATTATCTTTGTCTGTCAAGTCTTATCTGAGTTCTGCCGTCCTCCCAACTGTGGGTGTTTTTTTGTTATCTTTTGAAGTCTGCAAATTCCTTATCCTGCCCTGCCTCGTTAATTGCCGCAGCGTGGTTTATGTTGGTTTTTATTTATAATTTAGATGTACTTTGGGTTTGGACAGAATTTCTTCCCTTTCTTGGAAGAGTTTTTTTTTTCTCCAGCCGATGATAACTGGACATTGGAGGCCAAGTTGGAGGTATTTAAAGGGACTTTACCTAACTTTTGTGACTTGGTTGCTTGTGTGCCACGCCCCTTTGGGTCATCACAGAGACGTCCATTGAGGAACCAAATCCACTTTTATGGACCTCTGGAGAATACAGAGGTGCTTCCCTCTTCAGCTTTTAAAATCTTAATGCCATCATAATATTAATGCCTGTGCTTTTAATAGGAACCTATGCTTTTCCCGTTAACCTTCTTCCTCCACCCATGTGGCGGAAGGGACTCCTTGCCAGCTGCCACCTTACTGTTGCTTGTGCTTTGCTATCATGTGGTAAGAGTCTACCACGAACTCTGGGGAGGATGGATGGGAGGCAGAATACTTGTGTGTGTGTGGGGGGAACGAAAGTAAATGCTGCGATCTCCCTGAGATGCTACCTCAAGGTCACCCGGCTGGGAGAAGATAGCAGCTGCGTGCCAACCTACGTTTGAACTGACCGCTGTGAAAACAACTTGCCTGAACCTGATTGGTTTGGGAGGGGGTGGAAGTCAGCAATGGGAAACAGTTAGGGGAGGGGCAAGTGAAACGTCGGGGATTTTGGCGCGCAATTCTCGGGTTCTGGCTACGCTTGACTGTGATAACACTCAACTTCTAATAAAACTAGACCCTTCCCAACGAACGGAGCTAAGGATCATTTTTAGTCAGAGGTTCAAGTTGTGGTGGAAATGGAAATTGGCAACATGGACCGCGCACCTCCAATTGGTTCTTTTTTACCTTTAAAAAAAAAATTTAAACAAAAATATTTCTCGATGTTTTCATTATCTCGGAGAAAGCTCTTTCGATTCCCTGCTTTTACTCACACATCCACAGGTAATACATCATTTTGCAAATGTGCTGATAGTCTGCTGGGATCTCCGCAGAGAAATCTTGATAGAAGCAAGGCTTGATGGGGCAAATCTTTGGGAGCGGTGGCCAATTGTTCTGCTTTGCTGGAGAGGAGAAAAGAGAACACATTTCAGGAGGGGCTTCCGGCAACCACAATGCCGGAATCTGGAAGCCTGCCCTGAGGAGCGGGGTTGGAGTAGATGCCTTCCTCATTTATTATTTGGGGAAAAGGGGGTGAGCATTAAAGAGCAGAGAGAAGAGTTCAGACCAGAAACGTTTTTGCTGGGAATTATTAATGAGAAACACAGTAAACGAACAATATATATTTAATGATACATATAATAACAGCGGCGAGATTGGTGTATGCCCAAAACTGGAAGGAAGGAAGATATCCTATACAATGTCATGGTATAGGATATCTCTTTCTCAAACAGGGGATTGGACTAGAAAACCAATCGGTGGGCCGGGGACCACTGGTGGTCCACAAGAAAATTTTGTGGTCCGCAGAGAAATGCCCCCCTGCCCCACCAAAGCAATTCATCCAGGCTGCGTGGGAACACAAGGCTGCGCCACCCACATGGCCGGTGGGAACACAAGGCTTGCATTGCAAACTACAGGAGGTAGTGAGGGGAGGGGGAAAAGGGCGGAGGTGGGGACTTGCCCCATGCACCCCACGCAGCTGGCCTGCCCACCGGGCTGCTTCTTTCCGCTTCTTTCTTCTTCTGCTTTTGGCTGCACGCAAGGAAAGCAGCCAAAGTCTTTCTTTCTCTCCCCCAAACTCCGCCAGAAATGAGTCTTTGGGACCCTGCAAGGCCTCCTGCTCCAAGTGGCTGTGCCGGCATGATAAGTCTCACAAAGACTCGTTTCTGGTGGAGTTTGGGAGAAAGAAAGAAAGACTTCTGCGGCTTCTGCTGCTTTCCTTGCATGAAGCCAAAAGTCTCTCTCTCTCTCTCTCCCCACCTGAGAACGGAACTGGAGACGGTATCCTGCGATCCCAAATAAAGAATGATCGATCCGTACCAAAATGGGGTGGGGAATTTTCCTGCAGATATTTTGGGGGGGATTTTCCCAGGGTCTCTGGTCCGTGGGATTTAAAATGAGGAGTTTCCCCGAGGTCCAAAAGGTTGGCGACCCCTGGAATGGAAGACCTCCAAGGTTCCTTCCAACGCTGTTAATACTCACTGTCAAAGCCAGCTGCGCTGTTCTGCAGTTCACGCTCCTTTCTGTCCAATTCGGCAGCTTTCCTTTCTAATTCCTCTTGCTGCTTCAGGAGCCCAGCCTGCGCTGCTGAGGCCATAGACTGAAGGCGGGGAGAAGCAATAAATATGATTAGAAAAGCGAAGGGAAGGGTTAAGGTAAATTCTAGGGGGTGGGTAGGGGGTACTAGTGAAAGGCCCTGTACCTATCATCATTTTGGAGGTTGTTTTGCTTCCTCGTCTTTTAAAACGGCTTTTTTTTTCGGACTTGGCAATTTTTAAGATGTGTGGACTTCAAGTCCCAGAATCCTCCTGGCTGAGGAATTCTGGGAGTTAAAAGTCTACGCCTCTTAAAATGGCCAAGTTTGGAAAAGGGTGCCTCAAAAGCATTCAGGCAGTTTGCAAATCCAGCATTTTCACCCCAACGCAGCATTTGTATAATTTACTCTTAATTCTTGGTTTTATCTGGCGCTTCTTATTGACGTATTGCAATTTTATAAGATTTTTAGACCTTTTTTTTTTCCCCACTGTGAATTAACTCCGTGAGGGAGATGGGTGGTGTCTACATCTAATAAACAAATGAATAATAAATGGGGGCACCGTTAAATACTTAAATTTTAGGATTTTGGAAGAATTTGGTTCTCTGTTTCTAGGTTTCTCCAAGGAGCCAGTGGAAACCAATCTTTAAAAAAACAAACTACCCTCCAGACTCTCAAAATGCATTGCCATCTACGGTTTTGCGATCAGCTTTCCAGAAAATTGTGCATCCATGAAATAAAAAAAGAATTTCAGAAGTGCAGATAGAAGAACTTCTTCAGCTCTCTCTCCCTTGAGGGACAAATATATCTCCCACTCTCTTTCTGCTTTCCCAGGTCCTTGTTCCAAACAGCATCAGGAAAGGACTAATAACTCGGAAGAGAAATGGGTTTTAATGATCAGAAGGAATAAAAACCACAAGGAAGGATCCCTTTGGGGAGAAGTTGATTACAACTGGTAGTCCTGAATTTCCAACCTTTTGTTTAGGGACTGTTGGAAGTTAACAGTGGCACAGAAAACAGTGGCTTATGACCATTTTCACACTTACGACCATCGGGAGAATGACTCATATTTATGATGGTTGCAATGCCCCAGGGTCATGGCGACCTTCTGGCGAGCAAAGTCAAGCCCGATTCGCTTTAATGCCTGGGCGACTAACCTAAAAAATGGTAGTGATTCGCTTAGCGACCGTGGCCAACCTCACGTAAGTAAGCGTCTCACGGAACGATGGAACTTTTTGAGCTCCATTTGCGGTTGTAAGCAGGGGTGGGATTCAAAAATCCCAACGATCGTTTTGCTGGTTGGGCATGGCCATGGTGGGCGTGGCCTACCAGAATTTCTGGAATTTGTTGGGTTTTTTTGTCTTTCCCAGAGTCCGGAGGCTTCCCTCAGGCCTCTGGGGGGACAAAAACCAGAGGCCCTCTGGAAGCGGGAAAGAGACCCATTTCAAGAGCCATTTGTGCGGGCATGTGAGCCCCACCCAAAATCACCCGCACTGAGCATGTGTGCGCCTCCCAGCTGATTTTGGGCCTGTTTGAGGCCTTTTTTGGCCTCCCAAAGGCTTGAGGGAAGCCACAGCAGCCTTGGGAGGCCAAAAAACGGGCCTTCCGGAAATATCAGACATGACAAAACAGACCCGTTTTTCGGCCTACAAAGGCTGCAGAGGCTTCCCTTGAGCCTCCGGGAGGGCGAAAATGGCCTCCCTCAGGCTCCAGAGGCTGAAAACGGGCACTTCCGGTATTTCTGGAAGGCCCATTTTTCGGCCTCTCGAGGGTGCAGAGGTTTCCCTCAAGCCTCCGGGAGGGTGAAAATGGCCTCAAACGGGCCACAAATCAGCTGGGAGGTGCGCGCGCATGCACAGTGCAAGTAAGGGGGAAGGGCATGGCATTGTGGGTGCTAGCTTTTGGCACATCGCAACAAAAAGGTTCGCCATTACTGAACTACTTGGTTCGGCGAACCAGATGTCAATTTAACAACCGGTTCTCCCGAACCGGCTGAATCCCACCCGTGGTCGTTTTAAGTCGAGGCAGCCCTGTAAACTTCCTTCTGAGGAAGGGATGCGAGGTTCTACTGGTGGCATTCGCTGCCCTGCGCGTTTTACCTGCCGGCGAGTCTGATCGCTGCTCTCCTCTAGCAACTTCTGCCTCTCTGAACTTTCTGAACTTGCCGAGATGAATTTGGGAGTCAGGTACTTGCCGGCCTGTCTAAGCAGCAGCTGCAACACACCAACTAGGCTTGTTCTAAGCTCATGGGACGGGCCTGATCTGCTAACTCCTGCAACTGAGTTAACTCGCCCTCGAAACAGGTTAGACAAGTGAGGGCAAGGGAAGAAGAGGAAAAACGGCACATGGGAAAAATACAGCACCAGGAATATACTTAACGCATCTCTTTCCTCGTCCAAGGGTAGAAAATTAAATATTCCTCACCATTTCATGTGTTCTTTGGAGGAAGGGGTTTAAGCAACGTCACTGTCATCCGTGGACAGACGGATTATTGTGAGTCCCAAAGGTACTTTTTTTTCTTTCTGAAGAGGCAAGTGGACTTTCTGCTTTTTCTTTTGAAGACGTTTCGCTTCTCAATCCAGGGAGCTTTTCCGCTCTGACTGGAGGGTGGGGAATGGAAGTCATAGAAGCCAAACGTCTTGCGGGGAAAAAAGAACCCAGAAAGTCCATTTGGCTCTTAGGGAAAAAAAAAAAAAAGCACCTTTGGGACAATCATGACCTGAGAATCTCTGTAGACAGGGATTCTTGTGAGGTTTTGCAAACCCTTTTTTTTTTTTTGAGGTCATTATTATTATTATGAGATATTGTAAAACAGGCAGAAAAAAAGAGAATTATTTATAGCTCGGGGCTGACAAGAACGGTCCTTGGTGCTCTCTGAGCTTGGTGGTTTTTCTTGTAGACCTTTCATGACCCAACTAGGTAACAGCATCAGTGCTAGAAGGGAGTGGGGTTAGAGGGATGACATTATCCGGTTTGGGAAGGAAACTACCTAGCTCAGAGAACACCAAGGACCCCGGAGGCAAAAGAGAGAAACGAAGAATGAAGTAAGGGAAACGAAAGAAAATTTCAGCAAAGCTCCTTCAGTGGCCAGCAAAGTTCTAAAATTAGAGAGGGGTTTGGCAGGAAATATTCCAAGTTAGTCAAGTGATATAAAAGGGAGAGAGGCAGCGGATTGATTTAATCCACCCTGGCCACATGTCACATTAATCTTCTTCCTCTTGGCCCTCCGCCAGATGTGCAGAGACCACATCCCCCAGAATCCTTTGAGCAAGCAAGCTAGCTGTGAACCTTGGGAGTTGGAATCCCAACCTAACTGGGCGAGGGGAGTGGCAAGGAGAATTCCAGATTAAATATCCAGAATACAAGCTTGTTGCCTCTTCCTTATGAGCAGAGGGGGGGAAAACCCTCCAAATGCACGGAAAAAGATATTGAGGGATCTTTTCCAGAGGATTACCACCCTGATCAGCACGACATGGGCCTATTATGGGATAGCCCTAGGCCCTAGGATATGGGGTGAAGTCCTGCAAGGACAGACAAGGAGTATAGGGGGGGGGGGGGGGGGTCACACCTGTGGGGTGGGCTCCACTGAGGTCTGAAGAACGGCAGGCTGAGAGGCACCCGCAGGCTGCGTTGCTGGGATGGTGTGAGCAGCATTTGTCTAAAGGATGAGAGGAAAACATTATCATTATTTGTGAAATTTGTCTGCCACCCTGCAGGGTGTCTCTCGAGGTGTCTTACAACTTCAAAGCAAAAGTGTACGTAAGCATGTATGTAAAATTGCAATAAAAATACAGGTTATAACTAAAACTTAAAAGACGGGGAGGAAGGGAGCAGATATCAGATAAGTGGGAGATAAGACAACCAGCCCCTCATTATTATTATTATTTTTTTAAAAAAACATTTATGTAGCTATCCAGGACCCAGATTGTTGGGGGCAACAATTAGCCGAATCTGTAAACCGCTTTGAAAGGGCTGGAAAGTACTATGAAGTGGTATATAAGTCTAAGAGCTACTGCTATCTTCCTTCCTTCCTTCCTTCCTTCCTTCCTTCCTTCCTTCCTTCCTTCCTTCCTTCCCTTCCCTTCCCTTCCCTCCCCTTCGCTTCCTGTTAGAATGCAGCATTGCAGGCAAACTCTGCCCACAGTCTGGAGTTCGATCTTGACTGGCCCAAGGTTGACTCAGCCTTCCATCCTTCCGAGATTGGTAAAAGGAGGATCCAGATTGTTGGGGGTGTGTGCAAGAGGCTGACTCTATGCTCAGAGATGTCTGGAAAGCACTGTGAAGTGGCATATAAGTCTAAGCGCAATTTCTATTTCAACCAACATTGGGCAGCTCCCCAACCAAGCGTTTAAAAGAACATATAAAACTGCCGAAAGCTACACAGGACATAGTTGCAGAGCACTGAAGAATATTCCTCACAGGGATCCCACCATGGTGGGTCATTGAAGGCTGTCTCTACCCCTGAACTTACTTGCCGAGAATTGTCCGAGAAGGGATTGAATTCATCCAGGTTACCTTGGTTCGCGTTGGCCAGCTGAGTGACCGAAGGATCCTGGAAGACAAGACGACGAGAGGAGGAGGAGGAGGAGGAGGAGGAGGAGGAGGAGGAGGAGGAGGAGGAGGAGGAGAAGGAATATTAATAGTTTCCCTGGAACATGACAGGGGTGTATGTTTAATTTTAGACGAGGTTCTTGGGCCCGTTCTGTTTACAGTCTAGACTGATGTTTCTCGACCTTGTGAATTTTGAGATGGCGGGGAATTCTGGGAGTAGACGTCCATCCTTCTTAAAAGTTGCCGAGTTTGGAAAACATTTCCTTGAAAGCGTTCAGGCATTCTGCAGACCCAGCCTTTTTACTCCAACCCAGCCTTTTAACATTTCAATTGTCAAGAAGCTCCCACCCCTAACCATGATGGCTAAGAACCGATGGCAGTTTCCTGCGCTCCCAAGTGGGAAATTATAAACCCTAAAAACAAGGTTAGTCCCCCCAAATGAAGAAAATTCTTAATTTCAAATTCCAAATCCGAATTCCACCAAATGTAGCCACATCTATTTTGTGGCCCCCAACTCTCCCACTTTAAAGGGGGCTACCCAAAATGTTGCATCTCCCCGTTGCAAAGCCGCAACAAAACAACCCCCATCATAGCTTAGCTGGATCGGTGGAGAACTTTGCAAACTCTGTTTAATGGATAACTTCGGGCAAAGAGTCCAAGTGCTGACACTCCTGCCCTGAGCAATGTTGTTATACAACTTTGTGAATCACTAAGGAGGCTGGAAAACCAGTACAGGTAATCCACAAGTTACAACCACAACTGAGCCCCAAAATTTAGGATGCTCAGTGAGTTGTTTGTTACATGAATTTGGCTCCATTGTACGAGCCTTTCTTGACACTGTTTGTTAAGGGAATCTCTGTGGTTGTTAAATTGAATAACTCGGTTGTTAGGTGGGCAAAACTCGCCTAATGAATGTCTCGCTTAACAGCATAAATTTTGGGCTCTATTGTAGTCGTAAGTTGAGGAACTACTGGTACCCACAAAACAGTCCATTTTTAAAGGATTATATTTTTCTTTGATGACATTTGATTGTCTGGACCAAGAAGATCACTGTTTCCTTTTGAGAAAGTTAAAGAAAAGTTTGTTTCAAACTTTAACAAAAAATTTAAAAGAGGGAAAGAACTCAGTAATAGCAAAACAAGGATTTCATGACTTGAACTACCTAATGGAATATTTTTTTTAAAAAAAAAGCAATTAAGACACTAGATTCTGCTTCAAGTACTCACAAAATTTAATATCATAGGAGAAGCAGCATCACGGAACAGGCTGAACAAACCTGAAAGTCTGCTGAGTGATTGGCAGCTTTATTGAAGTGACAGAATCTTGGCTTTATAAAAAAGGAAGAGAGGCGGCTTGCGAATTGCATCACTTCGTTTTGTCGCCCTGGGCTTGCCTAAGTGAGACAACTGGACTTCCTGAAGAGGGTGGAATAGGAGAAGCAGTCTAGTGCACGGACACCAGAACAGCTGGACAATGTTCTTAGTGACCAGAGCAAGTTTGGGGGAAAAGAGAAGTATAAATATAAATATTATGTGTGCAAGGGCTAAAATGATTAATGAGATATAAAGGCATGGATCTCTGTAATGGTAGTTTATTACTCTGACGATGTCAGCAGAAGCTGACAAAAGCTTAGTAAGTATAATAAATATAATTTTAGTTCCGGAGATCGCAAGATGTCTGTTTCTTCTCTTACAAGTATACCTGGAACTCTTATTTTAAGAATAGTTTTTCTTTCTTTCTTTCTTTCTTTCTTTCTTTCTTTCTTTCTTTCT